AAAAGCATGTCAGCCAGTCACAGCAGTGGGCGGTTACACTGAATCCCACACAGACACGCCCCTTCAAACAGAGTGTTTAAATCAGAGGCTAAAATCAGGCTAGGAAAAATGCCTTTTAATACTAAATTATGACTTTTTTTTATCTAAAAACACATTAACACTATAAGGGCAACCCAGGAAACATTATAAACTAATAAAATAACCCCATGACCTTTAAGTTGCAGCCTTTTCAGTGTTCATTTTTCTGGTCACGTATATGTTAGAGGTTGTGTTTTGTGTGCCTGCCTGTTTGGATTGCCTTCGAATTATTAAAGGCTTTTGAAACTTGATCACCTTCTTGTACTTCCTTCAACCTTGTGTGACACACGCACACTGTGAGGACAAGACTTTTGGACAACAGCCTGATGTCAGGAAGGGCAGCAGTGAAACAACTTCTCTTCGAGAAAAACATCAAGGACAAACTGAAATTCTGCAGGAAGTACAAGGATTGGACAGCAGAAAAGTTACTTTCCCCAAACTGTTGGGGACATCTGAAAAATGAATTGTCCGGTGAAGTAAAGGTGAATGCTACCACCAGTCCTGTGTCGTGCCGACAGTGAAGTATCTAACTACTCTCTCAGCAGTAGTTTGACACCTAACTGATAAATATTGTGCTGATTGAGATGGGTTGAAAATATTCAAAAGGGTTGCAGTTTGTAGACTGAACTTTGTTGGACGCATACACACACCCTCTTTCTTTTTACTAGACAATTTGTTTTAGTCCAAAGGGGAAGAAGGCCCCTTCGAAGAAAGTCGGGAATGTTGTCAGCCAAACACAATTCAATGGATATTTCAACATAGCAGAATTTGTGAGCCCATTGCTGTGTAGCTGATCAACTAGTGTTTCAGGTTTTGGGATAATCCAGTCGATAAAGTCAATTTACGTTCTTCGTATAGAGCTGTAACACTTTATAAACATGAGTGAAAATACCCCATTACTATTTTGGAGGTCATAACTATTATAACTAATACTTAGATGTATTATTATTTATGTCCTCACATGCTAACCTGGTGAAAATGAGAATAATTATGATTATTAGACTTAAGATCTTTGATCAGCAATACTTAAACCCTTTTAAATATTTCAAATATATACCTTTATCGTATTAATAAAGTTAATAAAATTGCCTGCACAGTCTCAGAAACTTTATCAGGATTATTATTATTACTTTCAATAGAAGCAGTATTAGGGGGAAATAGACACTTACATTGAATGACAGTGAGCCATTTCGGTTGATTGTGATGAACGATGGAAAACACAGATGGTGTTGAGACCCACCAGACTGAGGACTATCCAATAGAAGCTGTCGGTTTTAACCATGCGACGAATAGAGATTCGCAACATGCGTTCCTTGCGCCGCCATGTAAGCAGCAGGACCTCGTCTTGCTGTTCGTATACCAACTCTTGGTCGCGGCCCACCTGACACGCAAAAAGAAAAAAGAAATCCATTGGTCCCCACAGAATCAATGTTTGTTTTCTATGAGAGTATTAATGGTGGTATGCCAAAAGCTTGAAAAATGGAGATGAATTTATGGAATGTGTGTTAATTAAAGATGTTTCTTTCCCTTCAGACAGATAAATTCTTAATGGTACCTCAAACATAAAAGCTGATTACAAAACGCAAAACAAGTCTTAATATGGATGGGAAAAAAAGAGATGACATTTATACTTTACTTACCAACTGTAGAGATTTCAGAATATTTCTCCTCTCCTGGTCCTCGACGCCTCGCATTTTTCTTGCTAGTGGCCCGTTTCAAAACTAAAATTAAAAGGGTTAAATGACACCATTTGTTGGCTTTATGTTTCTTATCATGAAGGTATAGCAATCAAAGTACACATAAATATGTTGTTCGTGTCTGGATGGAAACATTTATTGTGGCTGCCATTAGCCTTCCAATTGCAAAAATACATTTTTAACCTTAACACATCTCCATTCCAAATTATTTCTGTCTGAAAATATGTATTATTAACTCTTCCATATACAGTATGATTATTAATATCACATTTAATCAATAACAACAGTCTTTAAAGGGGTGGTTAATTATGATTTCACTTTTCTAACTTTAGTTAGTGTGTAATGTTGCTGTTGCTGCTTAAAGTTCAAAGCAAAGGGAGATATTTGCTTTTAAAGAAATCATTTAATCTAACTTATCCTGACAGAATATGCTAATTGAAGATAGTTAACTCCATATCAGCAACATAAATTCTAAACTAACCATTCAGAGACGTCCTGTTGCATTCTACATGTTGTCACTTCTTCTTAGTCTCTCCATCTTTGTCTGGCTCCGGTTTAAACGCAAAAGGCAGAACAGTTTCTCACATTTTAGCGTGTATCTGCGTGAGGTAATCGGAGAAGCTCCGCCCACTGTGTCGGAAGCAGCAGCTCATTTGCATTTAAAGGGCCAGACACAAAAGCGTTTGTGCGTTTGTGCTAAACCTCAAAAACTGACAACTTTAACATGCTATATAAAAACATCTGCGGGGTATTTTGAGCTAAACCTTCACATACACACTCATCAGAGACATCAGAGATTTATTTTACATCCTGTGAAAAGGGCATTATACCACCGCTTTAAATCTGAGCTTTCAAAGTAGAGTTTTGGGAATTTCATGTAAAAGTCTTGCATTTTAGGATTAAAACTGGTTTAAAAACCAAACTCGCAAGACACACAAGACAACACATTTTTTTGTAGCTCTGTTAAAATGAAATTCATACCATCTAATGCTGACCTCCCAGAATTCTTGTTTTCTTCTGCGAGCATTACTTCCTCTTTGAGAGAGAGAGAGAGAGAGAGAGAGAGAGTCAATATAACTTGTTAACATTAAATTTACATAATTAAATCGATTATTGGTCAAATCAGTTTGCTTTGTGAAACACAAATGACAATTTGTAGGCCTCTTAAAAGTGATCTGCTGTACTGTAGAAGCATCAACTATTCTGAGCACAGACAGGCACACACACAAACACTCCAGTCAGTGAGTCAGTGTCACCTTTGGGTTGACCCTTCACTGCGTGGGAGAATGAGCAGCTTCACACACTCATGTTCACCTGAATGTTGTGTTCAGGTGGTGGGTGGCAGGGTGAAATGTGAAAAGAGTGGTGTAGGTGTAGTACACAATCAGAGCACTGTCTGTCACTGAACCTGGGCAAAGACATGAAACTTTGCTAGCCTGGCTGAAATGGTTTAAAAAAGCAAAAATATATGAATAAAACTGCATTCAAAACAAGCAATACCACAGTAGTCTTAGTATTTTAAAGGGTCATGAAACCCCAAACCAAATTTTCTGAGATTATAACAGAGGTATGTGTGTTGAACACCATTGAAGACAATGTTAGCATCTGTTAGATTTAATAATAAGGTTAAAATGGTTAAATTTGAGTTTTTTTCCGCTTTTTTCGTCTTCCGGGTTTAAAATCTTCATTGTAGCGGGTGACGTGGCAGTGCACTGCACAGTGCGTTGATGACTCATCGGTGTTATCCTATGAGAAGACACGGTCTCTTAATTATTCACGTGGATCTTTCCAACGACAGACATGACAAACTGTGATATCGCGTAGTAACGTTAGATGAGAGAGGCAATCATGGGACGCAAACTATTTGTTTTCATGGTGCAAAGTCCAAGTGCGTTGAATATGTTCCCCGCGATGCTGCCAGGGCTAGACTCTGGCTCTGGACGGTTGGTTTGCCATCAAACACGGACACGTCTAAACCTGATCCAAACTATAGTGTGTGCCGCGAACATTATCGCGAGAGAGCTGCGAGAAGTGGAGAATGATGGACTTCGCCTTGTCGACAACTAATCCAAGTTGCGTCTTGCGAGTGATGCGGTATCCCGAGGACTTTCTATCCCTTCAGAGGTGTGTGTGTGTGTGTGTAAAATGAGAAGTCATTTATTATGAGGGTTCAGAGGGCACGTAGACTATGCCCTTCTTTTACTGTCTATGACTATGCACGGAACGATTTTTTTAAGCGGAAAATTAATCATTTTTTTCTGAAATGTATTTATACAGTAGTGTCTATATAAACCACTATATATAATGACTTTATAAATATACATGTAGCCTACATTAATATGTTTTAATTAGAATTACGATTACTGTAGGCTAATATTTGTAGTAGGACATTCAGTTACTTTTGAAAGGACGATAATAAAGTGTCAGTGTACCTCATAAGACTTTAACTTTGCCAGCTATATAAAAATCTAGTATTTCCTCACGTTTTACCATTGCTTTTTAGTGACAGTCGAAATGCATGGGACAGTGACAGTGATGGTCACACCCACTCCCTCCCTTCTTCTCACAGCTAGCCACGCCCATTTCAGTTGCATTTTTCAAAAAGATTTTGAGCTAGACTTGAGCTGAAAGAGGGGGGTTTCATGACCCTTTAAGAGTGTACTGGAAATATTTTAGTAGCATAATACACTGATTTCACGCAGCCGCCATTTTGAAATGGCTCCAGTGGGGAAAAAAACGGAAGTGTCGCCTTTAATCATAAAAGAGTCACAAATGCGATGGCGTATTGTTGAGTTTAATATAGAAATCAGTTATTCTAAAAATGTACATACATTTCTCTCATACTTTAGACTATATACAGTAAATATCATTTATATATATAATTCAGAACGTTAAAAATGAAGCAGGAACAAATTTAATACATATCCTATATTGGATATTAACATCTAATAGTGTACAGTAAATCGCGGCAGCAGCTTCAGGTTGGTAGTCCAAGTCATTGTTGTCTATCTATACTTCCGGGGTTCTTCCCACCGGAGCCTCGCTTTCGATTTAAAAATGGGGGCTGCGTGAAATTGGCGTACTGTATATACCAGCAAACAAATTTAGGTTCTGGAAACGTTAGTTTTTGGTTCCCAGAACGTTCCTAGAACTTTCCCTTACAGGAACATTCCAGGAACATTCTCCTTACATTATAAAAATGAAACCTAAAAAAACCCCTACATGGAACGTTCCTATAACGTTCTTGTTTGGGTTCCCCAAAAAAAGAACCTCATGGGACCATTCGGAAACGTTAGGGGAACGTTCTGCAAATTTAAACATTTAGCTTTGCTAGTAAATAATTAGCTAGTGAAGCATCATGAATGAAGCTACTGTCACATCTACGGTGTCCCGCTAGCAGATATGAGGCATCTAAAAATCACTCGACGTCTTGTTTCCATGGGGTCTCGAAGGAAATACAACCACATTTCCTCTCTGTCTCCCCACAACTCCTCCATTCAATTTCACCCACACTTTATTGAAAACGTTTTCTTTTGTCATCAATGCATTGTTGGCAAGCCTTTTGTCTCTTTTAAGCTCTGTCTCTCTTAGCAACACATTCCCACTCCATGCTTGTTCAGGATCCCTTAAACAGAATGACTCTTAAAGGGTTACCCTGTGCAATACTGTGATACCAATGGGGTCCTGGCCGAGCATCCATATGTGAAGTGAGTTGTGAGAACATGTTGCCACAAATCAAATTATTAAAATAAATCAATGCTTTGATGAATTCCAATGCTTGTTTCCCACCCCTTACATACCCAGATAGCAAACTGACATTGAATCAACGTGGAAATATGACATCTAAACAACGTTGATCTGACATAGTTTTGCTCATCGAATTAACGTTGAACCAACGTCAGACGCGTCATTCTTTTAAAACTAACGGAAAATCAACTTGAAATCAACGCGTTGTTTCAACGTTATGAAAGCAAACCAATTTTCGATTTCATTTAGCTTTGAAGAATGCCGCGTCTGACGTTGGTTCAACGTTAATTCGATGAGCAAAATCAACGTTGTTTCGATGTCATGAGAGACGTTTCCACGTTGACTCAATGTCAGTTTGCTGTCTGGGTATACACAACATATGACAAAAAACATGAGTGTTAAACATACAAACTGTATAGATGACACAATTTCCCAATTTCCTGACATGAATAAATACACATCAGTGATCAACATGAATGAGATGAGCTTAACAAAGCATACAAACTGACACCAGTGTCCATCCTGATTCATTTAACTGACAACAGTTGTTCCACTGTAAACATTGTACAATTGCAAAGTATCTTGGAAGCAGCAACCAAGTCCTCAAATCCACTTTTTGACAGCATTTGTAGAATAGCAAAGCCAGGAATGTTTTGTGCATAAATGAATGCACGCTTCTGACGTGTACCTGCTCTGTCGATCCAGGCCCGGTAGCCGTTGAGTTCTCTCTCCACCTGTTGCTGTCGTCTAAGCTTCATGAAGGCACGTCTGTTCTCCACCCTCTCTCTCTCTTTAGCAAATTCCCTTCAGAAATATTTAGGGGATTAAGTGTCATTACACACATTCACACAATAATTCAGTAAGTGATCAATTGATTGGACGTCAATTGAGTGCTTTATAAGTTCTGACCTTTTACAATCTATAAAGGGCATGAACAGCTAAGAAACACTGTGGAGGCTGAACGAGTACAGTAATCAATCCCTAGTGAACCAATCATCCAGAGTGTGTGGTTTTCAGGCCACCCACGACTGCAGGCTCAGAAGGCAACGATTCTCTCATTCAGTGAACATTACAAAACTAATAATCATTAGTTTGTGTATATCAAACCCTGAAATTATTGGATAAGATTAAAGATTAGTTGACAAAATAATGAAAAATCGATCAACGTTTAGCCCTACTTGGATTTCTTTCGGTTGTACACAAATACGTTTTTCCATGCAATTACTATGAAACTATGGGACTGGAGCTTTCAAGACTCAAAAAATCATAAAACGTATAATAAAAACATGACTTGTGCATTTATAAGAAGCTATAAATTAGACTTTATTCACAAAAAATCCTGACATCCACTATAGCTATACATATTTGATTATTCATAAAAGAAATAGTGATGTTGATTAATGAATAAATTTGATCCATTTCACAACATTAATCACAAATCAGACTGATCCGGCACACACATACTGTAGGATTTCAGAAGAGAATTATTTAAAGGAGTAGTTCACTTTAAAAAAAAAAACATTTGCTGGTGATTTACGCACCCCCATGTCATCCAAGATGTCCATGTCTTTCTTTCTTCAGTTGAAAAGAAATTAAAGTTTTTGATGAAAACATTCCAGCATTTTTCTCCATATAATGGACTTCAATGGGAACCAAACGGTTCAAGGTCCAAAAGACACTTTCAGTGCAAACTGCTAACTGTTCAAAGGGCTTAAAACGATTCCAGATGATGAATAAGGGCCTTATCAAGCGAAACGATCACTCATTTAAAAAAAAAAAGTTTTTAAGCTCAAAGTTTCATAAGCTCAAATGGTCGTCTTGCTCTGTTCTGTGATGCACGTTCGTGACTCTCCTGTTTGAACTCGTTTATCAAAACGAACAATTTTTTTTTCGTGTTATTTGGTTCATTTAACAAACAAAATGAATGAGTTGACTCTAGAAAAGATTTGTTCATTTTGATGAACGAGTTCAAATAGAAGAGTCACAAACGCGCATCACAGAACAGAGCAAGGCGACCATTTGAGCTTATAAAACTTAAACTTTGTTTTATTTTTTTTTAAATGAGCAATCATATCGCTAGATTAGACCCTTATTCATCGTCTGGAACCTTTTAAAGCCCTTTGAACAGTTTGCACTGAAACTGTCTTTTGGACCTTGAACTGTTTGGTTCCCAATAAAGTCCATTATATAGAGAAAATTCCTGGAATGTTTTCATCAAAAACCTTAATTTCTTTTCGACTAAAGAAAGAATGACATGGACATCTTGGATGACATGGGGGTGAGTAAATTATCAGCAGAAGTTTTTTTTAAAAGTGAACTACTCCTTTAATAAGTAGATGTGTTTTTGCATTCTTTTGATGCTTGAAAGTTACAGTCCTTTTGTGTTTGATGGTAAAAATGAAATCATGAGCATGAACAGATAATAACAGAATTCCAATATTTGAGATGTATTTGTGAATTTCTTACCCAGAAAGGACACCCAAAACAAGGTTGAGCACAAAAAACGAGCCGATAATGATGAGAGGAATGAAATATACCCAATTCCATGTGGATCCTAAAGCATCATTAGTCTGTGGAATAATATCAATAATCAATGAATAAAGTAAAACCTGAGTAGAAAATAATCACCTCTGGGCCCGGTTTTTCAAAAGGTTTAATCCAGATAAAATTGATCCGGATTTAGTAATCCTTTTTTTTTTTTTGCGATCGGTGATCACGTAATCCAGCTTACTTTTTTGAGACATTTTTTCAAAGCAACATCGGATTGGATCAATCTGATCGGATAGGAACTTTTCAGGATCACCAAATCTAGATAACCAGTGCTCAAACAGGATAGGAAATCACAATGTAGAACTACTGTATATGTAAAGAGCAACAAGTAGACAACAAACACTGTACATTGAGGATATTTATAACACGATTCAAATGTATATCACTAATAAATATTCTAAAAACACAAATATTTTTGATTGTGAATTACAATTTATTGTTTTTGGTCAATTTTGACAGCTGTTTGAGGGATTATTTTATGAGGCCAAACTCTTTCTACTTTGCTGTAGGCCTATACTAAACGGCTGAATACGTTAAAGCCACTGTAGCCTGACGGATGAACAAATAAAATCAAAACCTTATGAATAAATAGGATATCTTGTAAGATACTGCTTGATCCAAATATAGATTTATTTGATAGATTTTTAAAGTTTTCATTACATTTTAGGCATGAAATCCACGCTGAATCCACCCTTCTGATGGGATCAGTTTAATCCACATTTTTTGGATCAAAGTTCTGAAAAACCCAAACTAAAGGTGTGATCCAGATCAAAACCAAGATTGGATTACATGATCTAATCTGACTATGTAATCCGTTTTTTCTTTTTAAAAACCCATTTTCAAGATTGATCCAATCCGTTATCCAAAATCCTAGTGGATTACTTTTGAAAAACCGGGCCCTGAAGATTATTTTTTTATGTCTATTCCAATAAATTATTGCTGTCTGCACAGTAAACATTATGTTTAAATAAATGCAATATAGACAGATATTGCAATATAGAGATATAGATATGATTTGACCACCATTTCGCCTTATAAGGAGCAAAATCCTGCATAAATGAGTTACTTTAAGCAAAAGATTTTCAGTTCCTGTCATATTTGTATATAGAAATCACTGCAAGCACTGCAGCTCCATATGTTATATATAGTATAGGTTAATAATGAGGATGCGTTTAGATAAACGTTGAGTATCAATGTAAACATAAATCCAATCAGTCAACTATAAAACTGCATGAACTCACATTGTAGAGGACTGCAGTCCATCCCTCCATGGTAATGCACTGAAATACTGTTAGTACTGCAAACAAGATGTTATCAAACTGAGTGATGCCATCATTGGGCCCAATCCATGAGCCAATGCAGGTGTATTTATCAGGGCACTTCCTCACTCCACACGCAAAGTCCACCTCAGAAGAGTCCACGGTCTCATTATCTGAAAGAATAGTGAGAGGAACATTATATGATGCATTCAGTGACTACACAGATATAGCAAATCTAAAGATTGCAGAAACGTGGCCCTGTAGTCTTTTTGATAAACAACAGTATGTTTTTTTTTCAAACAAACATTAGCTGAACACAATATATGCTCACTTTGTTTGCTTTCCAGTTCAAAATAAATACGTTTACTGTACATTCAAATCACTAACGCAGACTTTAAAGTTAGAGCTTTAGAATTGTGCAAATCATTGCTGTGTCCATGAGGATGGGAAAAATAGGCATAAAGCTTACCCATTTACCCAAATTATTATATGCATGTTTAACCAAAGCTAGTTTGGGTGGGTTTGTTCCATCCCCAATGTCACTTCCATTCCCAATGTTTCTTTTACGGTCCTGATGAGAACATCAATCTCTTTGGCTGTGAACGGATTGTGAAGCTCGTCGGTAAATGCGCCGTTATAATAGAATTGCGCCATGGAACAATGGCACGCTCTGAATGTGATATGATGTTATTATTGGGTTGTTTCCCGTTATGCCCAAACCACACCTATGAACAATGAAGCTACTTCAGACCAACCCCTTTTAGATTTGAGTCATTTATCCCGCCAGTTATATAGCAATAGTGCCGAGATCCGCCTACAAAGTTACTTGCGCTTCGCGCTTCATAGTTGCGTTTCAGATCATTAAAATAGGGCCCTAAAACTATTGGATCTGCCCAGAGTCACTCTGGATCTGCATAACCAATCATCGCTAATGTTTGGTCATGATGTATGACGACTCAAACTAGCGCACTCCCTCTGTGCAGCATTCTCAGCCACTCCCTCTCTTCGCTGATTGGACCGGTAAAAAATTGACCGGAGAAAACCAAAGAATACACCACAATCCCAGACGTAGTCGTAAAGGAAAATGAAAAATTGAGCGGAAGTACGTAGGAGGGCGGAGCCAGGCTTGCATCCTAGTGAAACAGCCCTTAAAGTCCCCGTGAAATCAAAATTGAACCTATTTACTTTGTTAGCGTATATTACTAGTCTTGTGGTGAACAATTAATCTGTGCAAGTGAATATATATAAAAAAAATGTTTTACCTTAGCAATCTTTAATCAAAATCTGAAAAGTTACTTCCGGTCTGGAACGGTTTCTTTTTCTAAAGACGTAGGTTTCACAGTTTGGGTGGGGAAACGCTTAAACACTCCCCTAAAACTGTAGTTTGCTATGAGAGAGAGATGGAGAGGAGGAGCGCTAGAGTAAAACCCTGCCCTCTGTTCAATATTCCGTTTCACTTGGAAATACGTCACAGCACTGGAGAAAAATCGTTTGCAACTTCCGGTTCACGGGGACTTTAATAGATGAGTTCTTTTGAGGCTTCTATACAAGAATCCTCCTCAGCATTAAAAGGTAGAATGAGACTGTCCAATGGCATGTGAAAGGGCAAAACCAAAAAGGTTTCCGTCTCTTAGACACTAGCCATGTTTCCATCGACACGTTTTTTATCCGAATTAATTGATATCGAATGAAAAATACCTTATGGAAACCGTAAAATTCGATGAAATTTCATGAATATCGGCTTAAATGAAATACGTTCGGTCTCATCGGATTTTCTCTTGATCGATATACTGCTAATGCGATAAAAGCTGATGGAAACGTTATTTACCGAATAAATATTGAATTGCGATTAAGTTTTAGGCCCTTTTATGGTTGCAACACGCCAGAAGACGGGTTCATTTCCGGCCAGTCCAGCTTTGTTTGCGCACACATGGCGGATGTCAACAAAGACAGATGTAAGTGGACAAAGTAAGAAAATGCTTCAACCAAAGGGTTTCCGTGAACCACGATCTCCCAGAACTGATGTAGCGCTGTCGTTCCCACACCACAGTCACCTCCGCTGTCGTCGGGCATTTACGTGCATCGGCATCATCATAGCAATGTTTATAGCGTTGTTGTTTTCTTAGGTTAGTTTTGCTTGTTTTTACGTGACTTGGTTGAATTGTAATGTATAATGTGGTCTGTTATTTCTTGTTCAGACTGCTGCGCTGCTAAGCATAACACCGTTGCCATGGACGCAGTTCAGAGACGGAACAGACTATTTTCTTTAGCAGAAGCAATACTCGTTTTTAAATCAATAAACTCGTTTTTAAGTCAATATGTTGTGTCAAATTATTGATTGATTTATTTATTAATATTTATTAATAAAATTTATTAATTATATAACTGCAAGTTATGTGGGCAAAAGGGAACATTGGCACATATACTATCAGGATGCAAAACAGCTCTCACTCAGGGTCGGTATAGGTGGCGTCATGACAAAGTGTTACTGTCCCTTGCTGACATACTGGAACAGGAGAGATGCAGGAAAAGGCCTGCCGGTATGGGCTTGAAGAGGGCGATCACCTTCATCAAGGAGGGAGAAAGGCCTGTTTTAACCAAACCATCAAAACCCAATCTCCTTCAAAACGCCAGGTCCTGGGAGATGAGGGTGGACGTGGGAAAAAGGCTGCAATTCCCAGGGGTGGTGCTCACAGCCCTCCGTCCAGACATTGTCTTGTGGTCAACAGAGGGCAAGAAAATAATCCTAGTTGAGCTGACGGTGCCTTGGGAGGAGGGATGTGAGGTTGCCCATGAGAGGAAGGCCTTAAAGTATCAGTCCCTTCTTCAGGACTGCAAGGACAAGGGATGGCAGGCCTGGTTGTTCCCAGTGGAGGTTGGCTGCAGAGGTTTCCCCGCTAAATCAACCTGGCGGTTACTATCAGCTCTGGGCATGGATGAAAGAAGGAAAAAACAAGCAGTACGTCGGATGGGGGAGGAGGCAGAACGTGCCTCCTGCTGGATATGGAACAGGAGGGAGGAGGAAAGCTGGAAGCCAGGAGCAGATGGGCAGTGACTTGGCCATCACTGCCGGCCCACCAACCGGAGGGTGTTGTGGTTGAGGGCCGAAACACCCAGTGAAGGTTGTGTACCACCTGACGACATCTGCTCCTGGCAGAAGGCTACAGTTACCCACAAGGTAACGGAAGAAAGCACCCACTAGGTGTATGTCACAAGTATTCTCTGGTTTACCAGTGGCTTCTAGGAAAGACTGGATGACAACCGAGAAAGGTCGGTGACGCTGGAGAGACAGTTGACCTCCAGGAAAGTCTGGCCCGGGCACTCAAGGCTAGCAACCTTGCTGTGCAGCACTCGTAAGAGGGCACCACTCTTGCTACGACTGAACAAAATGAGCAATACCCCCAGAGTCTCCCGAGGGGGGGAGGATGAGAGACTCAACAGGACGGATATTCTGATAACGGCCAGGACAGGAACAAAGACAACGAGAAAGCTAAAGCAAACAACGCTGACCGGAGAGGAATACGTGACAAAGTGCCATTGCGGGAAGGTATGCAAAGGCACCAGAGGGCTTAAGATACATCAGAGCAGGTCTTCTTGTGGAAGGTCAGTGACCCAAGTGCAGCGCGCAGACACAGTGTCTGGTGAGACGAAGGAGAGCTCCAGCCAGGTAGCACCCCACAGTGCTGAAGATCTCTACGCACTTGAGCCGCCCCAGAGCCAGAGGACAGATCGAGCAGGTTCCCTTCGGTTATCCCCATCCATTCGTCAAGAAGAGAGAGAATCAAGTGGCCCACATCGTCTGACAGTAAGGCATGGACGCAGTTTGATGACGACCTCAATGGTATCCTGGAAGCCACTTTGGCCGGTCCTGTGCACAGGAAGATTGAATCACTCACAGCCGTAACGTACAATCTGGCGAAGGAGAGATTTGGCCCAATAGAGCAGAGGAGTCAGCCCCAGTCACCAAGGCAACCAAACAGGAGGGAAAGAGAGATTCACAGCTTAAGAAGCGAAATAAAGACCCTTAATAAGCAATTCAAAATCGGGCCACCAGCTGAAAGAGAGGGTATTAAGGACTTAACAAGCAAGTTGCGGGATCAGATGTGCAAACTCCGAAGGGCAGAATATCTACGGCAACAGAGGAAAAAGAAAGCAAAGAGGCGAATGCAGTTTCTCAAAGACCCGTTTAGCTTCACTAGAACTCTGCTTGGTCAACGAAAATCCGGCACATTATCCAGCTCAAAATCAGAGGTAGAGGAGTTTCTACGAGAAGCACACAGTGACCCTTTCAGGGGCGGGGGTCTAGGACAAAATAATAGCATCAGGAAGCCTGAAGAACCATCAGTGGAGCTGAACACGAAGGAGCCAACTTGGCAGGAAATGCAGGATATTATCCGGAAAGCCAAGGCTTCAGCAGCCCCAGGTCCGAGTGGCATACCATACAAGGTATACAAGCATTGTCCACAACTGCTTAAAAGGTTGTGGAGGATCCTGAGGAAGATTTGGGCAAAAGGATCGGTCCCACCAAGCTGGAAGCTAGCAGAGGGCTGTTTTGTTCCTAAGGAAGAGGGTTCCTCCTCAATCGCCCAATTTAGGACAATCTCTCTACTGAGTGTGGAATGCAAGATATTCTTCTCTGTGCTTGCAAAAAGACTGACCTCCTATATGACCCAAAATCAATACATCAACACCTCCATACAGAAAGGAGGCGTTCCAGGCTTTTCAGGGTGCCTGGAGCACACTTCAATGATCACCCAACTGATCCAAGAGGCAAAGCAGAAGAAAAGTGACCTGACAGTCATATGGTTAGATCTTGCAAATGCCTACGGTTCAGTTCCGCACGACCTAATTCAAGAAGGACTGGACCACTATCATATCCCTATGGCTATCCGTGACATGATTTCCAGCTACCTAGGAGGGATTAAGCTTAGATTTACAGCAGGGCAGTTTACAACTAACTGGCAAGATCTTCAAAAGGGGATTCCTACGGGGTGCACCATCTCCCCTATCTTGTTCGTCATGGGCATGAACCTTCTGGTTGGAGCAGCAGAAGGAGTAACCCGTGGTCCCACGCTAGAGTCAGGCATCTCCCAGCCAGTGCTCCGAGCGTTTATGGACGATATTACAATAACAACTGGTACACACGTTCAAGCAAGATGGGTCTTGGAAACCC